TGTTGCCCTCTGAGCTACTACCTTCCTGTGCAAAATACTGCCCTTCTGATCTCTCATGGTAGATTGTTTTAAGGAATGTACCTACCTGGTATAAATGTTCACCTAATACACCTATCTATTATTTGACTGGAAGCCATGACAGTGAATTCAATTCCAGGTCCAAAGGGTGACAAGGGGACATAATCTCAGGGATTTCACCAGTCTCCATCAGACCAGTGAGCCTGATCTTTTTTATGATTTTGAATTTTGTTTCACATTTTTCTTCCACTCTATCCAGGATCTTCTACACTGATCCTTTTTTGAATAGTTGACAGTGGTAGCTAGGTACTATCTAGTTCTTCTGGTCTCAGGGTCACGTAGGCTGAGGTTCACATGGTCCACTAGTCCCTTGGACTGTTTCCATGCTTCTTTGTTTTTCTTCATTCTTCTTTGCTCCAGATGAGAGAACAATTGTTGCATCTTAGGTGGCTACTTACAAGCTTTTAAGACCACACATGCTACTCACCAAAGTAGGATGTAGAAAAACTGTTTTTGTGTACTATGCTATGCCAATTGAGCTTGACGTCCCCTGAAACCATGGTCCTGAGCCCACAGGCCCAACAGCTTGCACCCTCAGGGTAGTTGGCTGTGGCTAAAAGTTATCATAACTTTTCCCCGCTAGCTCTTATATATATTTGGACATTCATTAGCACATACAAATACATATGTAGAAATATGGTCTGCCAACATTATATATGGTCATGGGTAATGTCTGTTCCTCTTGTAGAATGCACGTTTCATTAGAGCAGGGGGGCATTTAAAAAAAAAATCCCCTTGTTTTGATTTCGTTAATGAATAAAAAATATTTCAATCAGGATTACATCAACATCAATTATTGTTGAGAAGATTTTTTTGGGCTAATGCCATTTAAGCCAATTTAATTCTTTGATCTATTTTTGTGCAATTGTCAAACCATTTCCTTTTTAAAAAATACCATCTCATTCACACTTTTCTGAAATTATTTCAATTGGATTCAATTTTACAGTGAAGAGTTGGTTCACCATACAGTTTTCTTTCCATATCAAGTTTTACTGATCATAGCTTTAGCCATTCTGATTTTTTAGTAGCTATTTCGTCTAATGAGTTCAGTTTTCTCAAGTCAGATTTGTACATGGAAATGTTATAAAGTTAATGTGAATCTTGGGTTATTTTAGGGAAGCCCGGTGAAATTTTAGATATATGTTGCTTTAGTTTGCATGGATTTCTTTGTGTATATATTTTTGTAAGCAATAAATGGATATATTTTTCACTGACCTTAAATCGTGATGCTCTGGGACTCCAGCTTCAATGAATTCAGCAGAGGGACTGGACTTAGGGAAAGCCAACAGCAGAGTGAGGGTACTTGTGAGAGGCAAATGGCAGAGGTCACAAACCTCAGAAGCTGGTGCCAGCAGGACCCTCCAAAAGGTCTGCTGGGACTTTCCACTGCTACCTCCTCTCCATAACTGAGGCCAGAGAGGGCCCAGAGAATGGCTCTGAAGTCCAAACCTCCCAACCATATGAAGAAACACAAATGTTCGTTTAAACCAGTGGTCTTAAGGTGTGGTTTCTGGATTAGCAGAGCAAATTCTTGGGCCCTACTCCAGATCTACTGAATCAGAAACCCTGAGAATGGGGCCCAGTGATCTGTGTTTTAACAAGCTCTCCTGGTGATTCTGATGTGTGTAAAAGTTTGAGAACCACAGCCCCCATCTTGACTATGTAAAGGGGTAGAAGGACACATCTAGAAAGATTGACTACCTTTAGTCACCTAAGACTAAAATATCCTTTAAGCAAGATCAAGCCTCCCATTGATTCCCTCTCAGGTTCTAAATATAACCAGAATTTTCTATAGCAAAGAAAGAGACATCTGCAATTTTGCCTACCTGAATTATAGCAGTAAATCTTTGCCTCCCCACTACAACTTACCAATAATATTCATTATGAATTAGTTAAAAGCTTGTTTTTATTTCTTGAGTCATCCTCAAAAAACTGTTACCAAAAATTTCCCAGAATTGGTCTATTTCACTACCACATCTATTCTTCAGCAGGATTTTAATCACTCTGTAACAAGTACTATCTACAGAAGCAAACAGCAAAGGAATAGGCTGAAATACCTTTGTGGTCAAAATGGCAGGGTACAAATTTTGTTTTGGGAGAGGGATCATGTCTGCCTTTTCCTGTGAAATCTCAAGAGCCTTCATAGTGCCTTGTCCTTTGTTGATGCTCAGTATAGACTTGATGAGTGAATGAATGGAGAATCCATGTGAGGTGGAAGAGTTTGAGAAAACCTCATGGAAAAGATGACACAAGCTGGACCCTGAAAAGTGAGTAGGACATGTTGGATGGAGAGAGAAAGCATTTTAGGTGGGAGAAAAGGATACAAACAACAAGCTGAACAAAAGCTTGGGGTCAAGTCTAAATGTGGAGTGTTTGAGACTGAGTGAATAGTACTGGAGAGAAAAAAGCTGTTAACAGGGGGATGATGATGATCACCATTATCATTAAATAATATAAAAATATATAAATGAGATAGTGAGTTAAATGAGTGGTAATCCTTTGTTACATTCCTTGCTGTGCTAGACACTGGGCAAGAAGTGGAGAATAAGATAGACTTGACACCTTGAACCTAGTGAATAGAAAATGGGCAATGACAGGAGTATGAGATGGGCTTTGAAAGGGAAGTACTAGGGACACAAAGGTTATTTAACCTGGACTTGGCAGGTAGGTGGAACCAGAAAGCCTTCACTGGTGAGAAGATGTCTAAGCTGTGACCCTAATGATGAGTAGGAGTTAGCCAGAGCATAACCAAAAGAGATTCTTTTGATATTTCTGAGCAGGAGGAAGAACTCATTTATTTATGTAATTCCTCAAACAGGTCCAAACATTCTGTATGCTACCAAGAGCAATAGTAACAACAGTTAAAACTTACATAGCACTTACTAGTAGTTGGCACAGTACTGCTTATTTTACATTTATTATCTCATTTCATCCTCACAGCAATACTGTGAAGTAGGTTACTACTTCACACAACTGAGGAAACTGTGGCACACAGAAGTGAAGTTACTGAGCCATGGAAACATTAAGTGGCAGGAGCTCTTAGTATAGTATCTCTGAAGAGATTCTCTTTTTCCCTATCTTAGTGTCTTAGTGCTGCTATAGCAGAAATACTACAAGTGGGTGGTTTCAACAAACGAATTTCTTTTCTCAGTTTAGAAGGCTAGAAGTCCGAATTCAGGGAATACATAGGGGAAGGCTTTCTTTCTGCTAGCTTTGGAGGAAGGTCCTTATCTCTTTCCAGACTGTGTTCCTTAGTTCCTTGGCGAGCTTCACGTGGCATGCATCTTCCCCTTCATCTGTGCTTTCTTCTCCATGTCTAGTCTACTTTTTGCATTTTAAAGATAACACATCCTACACTGATACAGTCTTACTAACAAAACAAGGAAAAAAAGATGTGTTGGAAATCCTAAATTCCTATGCCTGTGGGATTCCTATGCCTGTAAATTTAGGATTTACAATACATATTTTTTGGGGACACAATTCAATCTGTAACATTCCACTCTTGGTTTCCCCAAAATTAGTATCTTTTGTACAGTATTTCTGAAGAGATTCTCCTTCTTCCCCTCCGGTGAGATATAATGTGTGGTATAATAAGAAGGACTAGTAATCTGGATTTTAATCTCAGCTCCATCACAATTTATTTATGCCAACTTGGACAAGGCATTTTCTCCACCTTGAGAAAGAGGGCGTTAAACCAGGAGACTCAGAAGATTCCTCCTACTCTGAAATTCTGAGTCTGTGAACAATTCTTGACTCAACAACAGTAAAATTAAAGTGACAGCCTTAGTTTTTGAAGCAGCATTCAAGAATGCAAAAGCTTTGAATATGACTGTGGGCCTTCAGAATCAAAGGCACCCCTGAGGTAGGGTCACTGTGTACTTCTCTTCAGCACATCAGTGACCAGATATGGTTAAACTCACCAGATGCTGTGTTTCAAATGATCAAGTGATAAATCTACATAAACACAACAGGAGAAAGCTCTGTCCTGTTCTTGACACTTATTTTTGCAAAAAAAATAAGACATCCAAAGAGAGAAAAGAAGATATCATTAACAAAGGAGATGAATTATAGGCCCAAATATTTATGACCCGTCGAGAAAATGAGACAATACAGAAGCACTATATGGTTTCACTGGCACTTCTTTTGAAAAGCACAAGCCTTGCTTGTGACCAAAGCAGTAATCACTTAAATTGAGTTTACTTATCAGTTCTGAAAGCTAAATTCTGGTTTGTGTTGCTGAGAAAATAAAACAAACATCATCCCAAGAAGATTTTTAGAAACTTTTTTATTTCTCTTATTTTTGAGAATATTTGACATGACTGAAACTTGAATGGAAATTTCAAATCAATATGTAGATATACACAGGTAATTATTCTGCAAGGAAACATGAGGAATCAAGTATCTTGCATAGAGTCACTGATATAAATAGTAGAAACAGTGAGAAAATCCTGGCCTATTTTCCAACAGAAAATAGTAGACTAGGGTTTCAGACATCTTAAGTTTTGCAAAGGTATAATTTGCAAGGAACTGCTGCTTTGAAAATCAGTCAGAGTTGGCCATACTCATACCCAGATGTGAAAATCATCCTTGATAGTACTTGTAGCATTCCACTCTATTGCTAGAGGCTGGACTGGGAGACCAGTCCATATTCCTTCACAGATACTCAGCATTTTACACAGGCAAAGCCTTGTTTCTGAGACAGCCGAGTTTTCTGCTTGCTTGTATCTTGACTGTTCAATGGCACACTTGCTAACTTCTCAGATCAGCATTTAATAAACCTAATAAACTTGGAAATTTAGGGAAGAAACCAAGTGTCAGGATATATCCACTGAAGATATGATGCTTGATTTCTTAGGAAGTCACTGATTCAGTAGAAGCAGGGCTTGCTCTTCCTCAGATCCACGGGTGGTTTCAACCTAGGGTTACTCAGTCAAAAGGGACTGGCTGAGTGGCTGGAAAGTCTGATGGCCGATTGTCCTCTTGTTTAACAGCTCCATGTGGGCTGTCTTGTCCCTGGGGGTATGGCACAGCATAGCATCCAAAGTATGAGTGGTGACCTGGCCAGATATCTGCAATTTTCCATAGATCTCATCAAATTTGGCCCGGAGGCCAGGGACATCCTTCACTTTTTCCCTCACTGAGGCTAGCTAGAAAAAAAGCAAGAAGGGCAGATCATTGTAACTCTGTGAGATTTCTTCCTTATTCTTTGTTCCAGCTCTCATCCTCCCCAAAGCAGAGATAGACATACATAAAAAATGTACAGTGTATACCCAAAGTGGTGAAAATTAGAATATTGGGGCACACAGAGGAATTTCATAAGCTACATAAAAAATTCAAAGGAAGCACCTAAAAATCATCATCTTGTATAAAATGTAGGTTAGAATAACAGATATAATACAATGAATCCCACCAAGGAAAAGGGATCAAATAGCAGTAGAATCCAGTTTGGCAGGAGTTAAATGATAGGTATTTGTAATTTATTGTAGAAGTCACTAGAATGTGTTTGAATCACTGTAAATGTGTTTGAAGTGGAACAGGATCTGATTTACTTTAAAAAGCTGTGTAGAGGATGAATTGGAAGGGTACAGGAATGTAGAAATCAATCAGGAGGCCCCCAATGTAGTTCAAAAGAGAAATGATGCTGGTTGAGATTGGGAAATGTACAGTAAAGATGGAGAAGTAGATGTATGTGAGGTATATTTCAGAGGTTAAGCTGAAAGCATTTATTGTTCAAGTGGTGAAGGAAAGGGAGAAGTCAAAGATAGGTTCTCAATTTGGGGTTTAACATCTTGGTGATAGGTTATGTCCTTACTGACATAGGAAAGACAAGGAGGACAAGATTTGGAGGGGAAAATCAGGAGGTCTGCTTTGGACATGACTGAGATGCCTAAGAAAAATCTATATGGACATGTCAGGAAGATTGTGGAATATACAACACTGGAGTGTAAATATCAGTATCACAAGTACATGAGTGGCATTTATGTCTACAAAAATGGGTGAGCTAAAAATTAGAATGTGAAGTTACTTTCTGAAAAAAAGTCAACATTTTGCTTAGTTCAATCCTTGTTAAGAATCCAACCTAACAGTATTTCTTGATGAAATTTAAAAGGGATCAAGCTGCCTAACAAACACTTTGGTCTGTGTTCATCTTCTAAATGTATCATAATCCTATCTGCTACTTGCATGTCTTCTTTTCAAACAAGGGCTCCCCATTGAACCTTCACAGAAGAGGCTCAAGCATTTCTTTTGAAAAGCACAGCCTTGCCATGACCAAAGCAGTAATCACTTAAGTTTGGCTTACTCATCAGTTCTGAAAGCTAAATATTGGTTTTGTTTGTGTTGCTGAGAAAATAAAACTTTACTGTGAGACCCCCTCAGGGAACAGTTTGATGAATCACATGACTCCAGTAGCTTTGGAGCTAGTTTTAAATGTGTATATGTGAGATTTTATCAGGAATGTTCTATTTTCATAAAGTTCTGCATTTTATAAATATATACATGCATTTACAATATACACACTTATGCACACAAATATTTACAAATACTGTGTTATTAAAAATGTGGCTATTAGAGTATAAATTGTCCTATAACCTAAAACCCATTGTTGTCGCATTGATTCCAACTCATAACGAGCCTATAGGAAAGAGCAGAACTGCCCCAAAGGGTTCCAAGGCTGTAATCTTTGTGGAAGCACACTGCCCCATCTTTCTCTCATGGAGCCACTGGTGGGTTTGACCACTAAGCTTTCAATTAGCAGCTAAGTGCCGAACCGCTGCACCAGGAGGTCTCCTTAAACTATCGGATGTTGTTAGGTGCCGCTGAGTAGGTTCCGGCTCACAGGACCCCATGCACAACAGACCCAAACACTTCCTGGTCCTGTGCCATTCTCACCATCGTTGCTATTTGAGCTCATTGTTGTAGCTACTATCATATTGCTGATATTAAAAATAGGCTATTAAAAAAATAGCCTATTTAGTCCTCATGTTCAAGGTGAAATGAGTTAACATGCAAGTATACAGCTTCCAAAGGAAGCAAAACAAACATGCCAACTTGGAGGTAAATGTGATCTAATTGCATCCACTGCCTCTTAGTTCACTACAGAAATATTAAGTGGAACCATTAGAACTGTTCTACAATGTAAGCAGAAATCGTAGCACATTGGTTTGTTAAGTTAGTTTAAAAACATAAATCAATGAAGAAATAGTGAACGTTGTAGTGGATTCAGTTAACAGCATTGCAGAAAATCAATAATTGCTTTCAATCCTCCTCTGGTAGTATAGCAGCATCTACATGATGATTTATAAATATCTAATCTCCACATACAGTATATTTTTAATAATACTGTATTTGTAGGTAAAATCCCGTATATTGTATATACATGTTTGTATCTGTAAAATGCAGAACTTTATAAAAATAGAACACTCCAAATACAATCTCATACTCACACATTTAGAACTAGCTCTAAAGCTACTGGAGTTATGTGACTCTAGTCCTCAGGGGTCTCACAACAAACACACTAAACTACAGGGTGGGATTTCAAAGAAAAATTAGTCTTGTAGGCATTAATGGGAAAAATGAAAAAAACAAGCAAAAAAAAAAAAAATAGAATTTTTCAATGGTTTTCTTGGATGCTTTAGTCACATAAACGCATGACAATATACTGATGGGCCTGGTCTAAGGAATGACCGATGAGCATCAATGCTGTTGAGAACATTTCAGTTGTGGCAGTATGACACATACACATATGTAACTGTGTATTTTAAAATCTGTTTAAATGTATAGCTTCTCTACTTTTCTAAATTTATTCTAAAAGAATTTGGGTGGGTTACAACCTACACAGTGCTGAGACTTCAAATAGAAAAAGCAATAAATTCAATCATATCCACAGTTAGTCAGTTTCCTGACAAATTCCTTTCAACAGTAGGAAAAAGCGTTTGGCTGGAAGTGAAGAAATGGGACAAGGCTGGGAAGGCCTCAGTGTGGCAGAGGAGAAGAAAGAAGTCACATCTCCTACTGCCCATCCTGCTGTCTCAGATGTCAGCCTGGACCAGTAATACAAAAGGCAAAGGAAGGGAGAGAGAAAAAGAGGGAGGGAAGGTCGGCTGAAAGGCCACTGAGTCAAAATAACATTACTAATATTATGATCATTGTAAATAATCTATGATTTCTTTATAGCTCTTTATTTCTTTAAGGAGCCCTGGTAGAAAATTAGTTAAGCACTTCACCACTAACTGAAAGGTCTATGGCTGGAACCTATCAGTGGCTTGAACCTACCAGCAGCTCCACAGGAGGAAAGACCTGGCAATGTGTTCCCAGAAAGATTATGGCCTAGGAAATCCTGTGGAGCAGTTCTATTCTGTCATGTAGGGTTGTTATGCATTAGAATGGACTTGACAGCACTCAACCAGAAAAAGATGTACAAATTTTCAAATATTTCAAATGAGTGGTAATAATTCCTCTTTGGAATTTAAGCCATTGTCTTGGTTCTCTAGTGCTGCTGTAACAGAAACACCACAAGTAGATGGCTTTAACAAACATATTTATTCTCTTACATTTCAGGAGACTACAAGTCTGAATTCATAGTGCTGGCTCCTGGGGAAGACTAGGCTACAAGTCCAAGTTCAGAATGCTGGCTCTAGGGACTAGAAGGAGGCCCCTTGACCTTGGGCTTCATCTCTGTCTCTTGTTCCAGGCCCACTGGAATAAGTTGAAGCCTTCCCCTGATTCATGCAGCTGCTAGCTGCTGGCTGCTGAAGCTGATGAATCCAGGATCAGCAGGTAAAATGGCAGACTGTGGGCTGTGCAGGCTACAATCTCAATATCAGCAATCAAAAAGGACTGGCTGAGTGGCTGGTTCGAATCCAGGAACTGGAGACGATGATGGGCCAAATGCAGGATCTGACATGTGCCGACAAGCTTGAGACTTTTTCCACAGCTTCTCCATATAGAATGAAAGCAGGCCATATCCCAAAGGCAACCAACCCCCCCTCAACTAATTAGTCCCCATCATGAGATTTGCAAATTCTGCCATGGAGGTAATTATACCACATCTAATCTCATTGGGAGCTCTGGTAGCATAGTGGCTATGGCACTTGACTGCTAACCAGAAGGCTGGTGGTTCAAACCC